AATCAGAAGGTTGCTTTATGAGACGGTGCACCTAAGTTGGGTGCATAGAATTATTTAAAATTGTTATCTCTTCGTGTAGACAGTGTGCCCTTCACCATTATAAATCCCTCTTTGTCTTTCACACTTTGTGTTTAAAAACTAAATCAGTACTGAAATAAACTGCCACGCCAGCCTCTTTTGGCTTCCACTTGCCTGGAATACTGACTCCACCACTTCGTTACTTTAAGTCCCTATAATCATTCTTGCAGGTTAGATGTGTTCCTGAGACAGCATAATTGCCTTATTTTTCTTATCCATTCAGCAGGCCTAGTCTCTTGAGCCAGGGGAGAGTTTTCAAGCCATTCCATTTATGAAGCAACTGTAGGAAGTAGATTATGCTTCATTCTGTTGGGGTGGCATTTGTTGCTTGATGTCTCTCTGAGCCATTGTATTATGTGGCCTTTAACTCTTTGGGTTTGGTTGTTTTTCTATTTGTGCATTTTATTAGGCTGTTCCGCTGCATAGCACATGTTCGAGTACTTCTGTGTAGCGGCTGGCTTGTCGTTGGTGAATTCTCTGAGACTTTGCTGTGTCTGAGAATGTCTTGTATTTCTCCTTCAATCATATGAAGTTAGTTTTTCAGGGAATAAGATTCTAGGCTGCGCATTGCTGGTTCAAGAACCAGTGAGAATGCTGGCCCCAGCCTCCTCGCTTGTAAAGTCTCATTAGAGAATCTGGTGTATTTGAATGGCTTGCCCTGTATGTCACTTGCCTTCTTTTCGTCTTACAGCCTTAGAGGCTCTTTAGTTGAATTTGTTTTTGGCAGTCTGAACTGCGCATGTCGGCGTCTCCGTTTTCATGAACATCTGCCCAGGGGTCCTCGAGCTGGTCGTTGAACTGTGTATATCGAGCATTAATCTGAAGCAAAGCCTGCGGAAATTTTCCTCTATTGATATCTTCAAATAGCTTGTCCACCTTGGGCGTTGTCTTCTCCCTTGCCTGGTAACCGCTATGACCCTCACATTAGGTTCTTCACATAATCCCCCATCTCCTGTAGCCTTGCCTCTTTTCTCTGTTCTCGCTCTATCTCTGTGATGTTTTATGTAGTGGAGGTATTATCTTCAATCTCTGAGATGCTTCTTCTGTTTGATCACCCTGTCTGAAGACTTTCCACTGGTATTTTGTAGTTCCCCTGAATGATTTTCATTTTCCACGGAAGTTCGTTAAATTTCTTCAATTGTGTTTATTTCTTAGTGACTTTTTCAAGGATCCTGGAGGCTTTTGTGTTCCTTTGTTTGCGTATTGAGTTTTGTTGCGCTGGTGCAGTTTCTTATGATCCACATACGAAATTCCTTCTCTCTGTCATCTTTGGGTCCTGATTTGGTGGTGTCTTGTTCTTAGGGGTGGTGCTCCCTTTGGGGGGTGGTTTTCCGTTTGGTTCTTCATATATCCTGAGTTCCTCGCCTTATTCTTTCCCATGTCATCAGTTGTTGTCTTTCCTTTAGGTTTTGTTTGCGGTATCTCACACACCTTGTTTAAGTTCTGGGCCGTTAGGTGGTGTCTGTGGGTGAATTTTGACCATCTCCCTGTAAATGAGTCAGGGGCAGCTGTAAAAGGCTGTGAACAGCCGATCTGTCCCTGTCAGTAGGTGGCGCTTGCTTAGGAGAACAGGCTCATGCTGTTGATTTTGTTCCTGTGATCAGCTCTTGTTCTGGCGCCGAGCTGGGCTGGGTACAGCCCCCTCAGGCCACCACCAATGCTTGTTAGCCAGGGGTCAAAGTCCTTCTCTGCTTCCAGCGAAAAGGCTGTCAGGGGGGCTGGAATGTCCCGCTCAAGCCAGAAAAGTCTGCTTGTGCGGGGTCGCGGCTGTCTGAGACCACAGTCTGAACGCAGGTCCCTTCTTTCATCCCTCCCCAACTCTGCAGCTACTCCTGGCCTCTGCCAGCAGCCAGACCACACGCCCACCAGGCCTCCCCAGATGTGATGCCCAGCGGGGAGGTTCCTGTGCATGACGGCCCCTGGGATGACGAAGGCCCTCCCTTTGCCGGGAGGTTGCCCTCTCTAGATGCTGATCTGCCCCCTGCAGGCCACACACACCTGCAGCAGGCTGTTCACAAATATCCTTTCCGGGCCCAGGCAATGCTAGACTCGTGCACGGGATCTGGCTGCAGTCCAACCTCTGGGGTCCAGAGTCTCAAAACTCTCTCTCCTCCTCAGGAGAGGAGTTTGTCCCAATTCACCCCACAGGGAGCCCCAAGCTGCGTTCTATTCTCTCAGCACTCTGAGTCAGCACCGTTCCCTGCGGATCACCGCTGCCAGCAGCACCTAGCGAGGCTGGCGGTAGAGCTCACAGTCTGAGTCCCCTTAGCAGCTGAGGTCCCAAAAGGAAAGCCCCGCTTCCCCGGCAGGTGCCTCCGTGCTGGGCTGCTATTGTCCTCTGCGCAGCGCGGTAGGGGTTGCGTGGGGAGGAGGAGGCAATAGGGCCCAGTCGGTTTGTGCCACATGGAGCCCCCGAAGGATTTGGGAGGTCTGGTGCCACATCCACAGCAGTGCTCACTGCTAGCTGGGTGCGGCCATCATCTTGGGCTGTCCACAGTCTTCCACCTGCTGGGAAGCCCACCAGCAGCCAAATTTAGGGCGAGGGAAAGTGATTTATCCACCTAACCCTTCACCCGTCTCCGGGCTACCTCCTGGGGTCTCAGCTTCCAGTTTTTCCTCCGTAAGCCTCTTCCGTGGAGTCTCCGGGTCTCAGGTACCCCTCCTTCCGAGCCCTCATCTGGGTATGCTCCGCTTTCTGCTTCTTTTTTCTAATTTCTGCAGATACTGTCTTTCTGCAGAGGACACTTTTCTGGCGTGTTTCTCGTCCGCCATCTGCATCCCTCCCTCCTATTGTTAACTTTAAAATATTATTAATTAATAAATTAGCAATAATTTTACAGTCCCCAGTTAATAGCATTAGGAACTATGTTTGAGATTATTAATTAAGGTCATCTATGGAAATTAGGCTTTAAGTCCAGGGGTCTCACATTCCAAAGCTGGTGGTTTTCCACTGCCTGATGCTAGCCTGCTCATTCAGTATATGCTGAATAAAGTACCAGCTTAATAGATAATAAGATAGACAGGATCTCTGACTAATCATGGTCTCTCCCATGTAGTATTCACCTTCCCCCAAGAGGCTAGTAAATGTGTAGGATAAAGACACATTCCTCAAAAAACAAGAGGTTAAAATAAAAGCACATTGACAGCTACTCCAGTGTTGGGATTTCAAGAGCAGGCTCTGCATTTATATCTCAGGTTTATGCCCACTCATGGTCTATGTGACTCTGGATAAGTTACTTTACCTCTCTATGCCTCCCTTTCCGTAACTGTAAGATGGCAATAAAAATAGCACCTGCCTCCTTGGGTTTTTGTGAGGATTCAGTGAACTAATGCAGGTGGAGGTCACAGAACAAGGGTCAACACGCAGCGGGCCCTCCAAGGCTTTTGCTCCTATCACCTCCGGGTGGGCCATGAAGGGCAGGTTGGAATGCAGACCCCTGAGGCCAAGAGCAGCATCCTCAGCCCGCTGTTCCTAGGGGTGGTGATGTCCACCTCCTCCTCCACCAAAGCCCTGGTTCCTTGGAGGAAGGGTGCTTGGTGAGGACCCACCTCGTGGAGGAAGGATGGCCCTGCACACCTTGCTAACTGGAGTTTATTGGGGACATGGGATGATTCTGCACACAAACACTGCAAAATCCCAGCCCCTGGCCACGCTGCAGGAGGTGAGAGCAGAACAAGGCAGCACCCAGGAGTTGACATCCCCGGGAGGCGCTGCACACTACCCTTGGCACTGCAACCCCCCAGGGCTACCAAGTGGAGGCAGAGTGCAATTCCTCCTTCCAATTCCTTTTCTCAGCTTTGCATGATCCTCTCTCAAAGGCACCTCTTCACCTGATTTTATTAGCTCCAAAGCTGAGAGAAACCTGATTACAATGGTATAATGATTATCACAACAACACTTTCAGATTATTATTTTTATTATCTGCCAAACCCAGGAGAACATGATGCAGAGGAAGAAGCCCTTGCATGTGCATTAGCAAATCCCACAGCCGTGTTGGGGCAGAGGCAGTGCTAGTAGTATTCAGTAGTGTCCATAGGCTACAGAGGAGGAAAAGGCATACATACAGTAAGGCTCTTAAACTGACTTGTCCAAGACCAGCCAGGACATTAGTTCAGCAGAACAAGCATCTGAGTCCGATGTCACAGAGCCCCCGGTACCCTTGCCAGCAAACGCAGAAATGCTTCAGTTCCTGCCCCACAGCATCTGGAGGCTCTGAGTCCCAGGAGGGCAGGAGACTGTCCTCCTCTGCAGTTTCGGTGCCCAGGACAGGCTTTTCCATGTGGCAGGGACATAATAAGTCTTAGGAATGAATGAATGAATGAATGATGCCCTCGGATTTGCAAGTGATCCAGCTGAGATAAAGCTATCATGATGTAGCAACTGTGTCATTCCTTTACCTGTGGAGCCCACCAAGGAGGTCCATTTCATGTCCCTTTAAGATGATCAAAAGACCATTTCCTGGCTCTAATGTGGTTCCTTCAAATTTTATATGCACATTAATTGCTTTTAAAATTTTATTACAGGTTACTTCCTCAGCCTTTCCCTTCCACAGCTCCTTTAAAAAAATATACTGGGAGATTGGTCCCCAATTCACTATCCCAGACAGTTTTCTATGCTCGCTCCATAAATTCAGCTTCTGGTGGAAAAAAAAATATGTCAAATTGGCCAATGAGAGTGAATCCCTGTGGGTCTGAAGATGTACCATGAAGCAGCCTGCTGTAGGCACAAAATTTCTTTGCACGCTAGTGTTTTATTTTTTAATAATTCATGCAGATTTCCCATTTCAGCTCCTAGTATATCTGTGTTTATTTAATATAAAAATAATGATATATAATACTTGGCAATTAAATTGCATTTCTCCTCCTCTTCCTCCCACCTTCAAAAAATCAAGTCAATTGAGCCTCCAAGAAGACGTGTTGTGTTAACACTGTGCTTCACACCCTGCCACACCAGAAAGACTTGGCACCCAAGTTTAAGCATCAGGGACACAGCCAAGTCTAGCCTCCTGCGCATGTCCCAGTGGCCCTCTATTCTCTGAACCTCCCCACCTGGCCTCATCTCTCATCCCTCCCAACTTTGCATACTGCAGTTTAACTAAACGAAGCTTCTTGCACTTTCCTGAACACACGATTTCTGAGGCTAGCAGCCAGGGATACTTCAGGAGAACTGAGCCCAGGCCTGAAGTCCATGGGTACGAGCAGTTCACCTTGGCCTGCAGTCACCTCCCCATGTGAATAGTGCCACTGTTCACTGGGAGCCTCTGATCTCCTGCTTACATGGGTCCAGGCTGCACACACTGCTGCCTCTGCCAGCCGGTGCCCATGGTCCTGATGTGAATCTTTGTTGCCATTATCTTCAATTCTGCACATCTTCCTGACCCTTAGATTTATCCTTGTAATGCACAAATAAACATTTTGCATTATCATTCATTTCTTTCTATCATAAAAGCATTACATGCTCATCTTAGGGCATTTAGAAAATACAAAAAAGAAGAAGAACAATCACCTACCATCCCACCACACAGAAGCAGCTAGTGTTAACTTCTTGGAGCTTTCTTTTCCATCTTTTTTCTCCACATAACTTTTACTTAGCTTTAACCATTACACATGTAGATTGTATATCCCCTCTTTTCACACCACTTTAGAGCAGTAGGATTTCTACATGATAAAAAGTCCTAATTATTCCTGAATACAAACAATAATTGCTATCTCATTTCTAAGCCAAAAACTAGAGTGAGAAAAAGAAGGTAAGTATTAAGGTACTAAAACTATTTTTCATGGCAGCCAAGCAAACCTAGGAAAAGATTCTCTGATAGTGTGTCCCATTCTCTGCCTCCAGGATGAGTTCCCGGGAATGGGTCATCTCTTCAGGGAGATGAATCCATCCCCTGAAGGTCACCCTGACCATTCCTGAGGGGCAGAACAAGTATCTAATCTGTCTACTCTTCTCATACGTCCCTGAGCCCAGGTTCTAAGCCCTTAAGCAGCTGTGTCGATTAGTTCTGAGTCTTTGGATTCACTTGAGTTGCTTCAGCTACAGAGACCCACAAAGGAATGTAATATTGCTAGAATATACTTCCCATCTGCCCAGGGTATTTTTAGCAAAATCTAAAATTAACAATGACGGTTCAGCTTGGATTCCCTAGGATTCTGGGATGGTTAATCTTATGTGTCAACTTGACTGGGCTAAAGGGTGCCCAGGTAGCTGGTAAAACACTATTTCTGGGTATGTCTGGGAGGGTGTTTATGGAATCAGCATTGTATTTGTAGACTGAATAAAGAAGATCTACCCTCACCAATGTGAACAGACACCACCCAACCCACTGGGGGCCCAGATAGAACAAAAAGGCAGAGGAAGGGCAAATCCTCTCCCTTTTTGAGCAGGATATCCCTCTTCTCCTACCCTTGGAGATCAAAGTTCCTAGTTTGGGGCCTTCAGGACCTCAGGACTTACACCAGCATTCCCCACCCACTCCCATTTTCCAGGCCTTTGGCCTCAGACTGAGAGTTACACTATCGGCTTTTCAGGTCCTGAGGCTTTCGGACTTGGACTGAACCACACCACTGGCTTCCATGGTTCTCCAGCCTGCAGATGGCATGTCATGGGACTTGCTGGCCTCCATAATAACATGAGATAATTCCCATAAAATCTCCTCGTACATATCTATGTCTAAATCTATTTATCTGTATATACTGTTGGTTCTGTTTCTCTAGAGAACCCTGACTAATTAATACACCTTCCTTTTCTATTTGTGCAGAAGTATTCCTTTCCATGATGCACTTGAAATATCTCAAGGATAAGACTCAAAAAGTCAAGGACCAAATCTTGTCTTCACTGTTACCTATTCCAGCTAATGCTAAAAGGAGAGGCAGACGAAAGAAAGAGTTTGTAATTATAATGATGATGATGATGATTTGGCACGCATGGAGCGATCACTACGTGCCCAACAATGTTCTAAGTGTTTTACACACATTATCTTATTTAATCTTTACAACAACCTGTCAATGCCTTGCAGCCAAAACTACCTGGGACACACCTGCAGCTGAACAAGACGGGACTCACTGATCACTGCAGCACAGGAGACCATGCACCGTGGGGCCTGTGGGCACCTGCAGGAGGAGGGGAGAGAGGATGCAGAATAGGATTTGGGCTTGTGATAGCACATTTGGAGAAGGGTCCAAGAAGGGGGGACTTGGCTCTAGATTGGATGCTTGCAGGAAGGAGGGGTAATTCTGTAATTGGTTAACCTGATAATTCTTATCTAGACGGTGGAAAGAACAGATGGAAACTGAAGCTACAATTAGTAAATAGGCAATGGTCACTTAGCCAGCATGGGAGATGACTCGCCATTTTTGTGGTTTGGCCCTTGTCCTTCTTTAGTCTGTATTTACACAGGATTATCCAGTGATACTGTCTTTTTCTTGCTGCACCAGCGTCACAGAGTGGCCTTGTCTGATGTTGGTGTTTTCTGACATTATTTACGTTCGTCAGAAGGACACCAAGGCCCAGCTGTGAGTGCCAGGCCAGCTCCTGCCTCTCAGGGGCTGCTTTGTTCTTCCTGATCTCACTAACAGATGCTGTTATTACATTTATGTTAAAATAGAGAAACGAAGGATTAGATAGGCTAAGAAATTTGCCCAAATTCACAGAGCTAAAAAGGGGCAGGATTTGAATATAGGTCTGATCCAAAGCCAGAATGCTGTTAACAGTCACACTGAACTTCATCTTCATGTAGTGATTTTTATCCTGTTTTATTTTACTTTAGAATAGGTAATGCATGGAACATGGCACAAAATTCCAAGTGTGACAAGTGCTCCTGGTGGAAAGTGAGTTTCCTTCCCAATCACAGCCGTCTCTCCAAGCACCCCTCCGCCTCCCAGGAGGCCGCATGGCCCGGTTCACCAGGACCCCTCATTCAGGGCAGGGTTGGCAGTGTGTGGATGGAGCAAAGCCATCTCGAAGATCACACTGGGAGAAGCAGCCACTAACTTATGACTTAACGAATCGCTTGCTCTTATCCTGCTCTTCCAAAAACTCTTTCATGAAGTTTCAGTAATTTAACAAAATATTAACTAAACAAATAGCATTTTCCAAACACTGTGCTCAGCACTTGGGAAACAAACAATGAACCAAACAAGTTGCTTGCCCTCGAAGGGCTCCCGGCCCAGTGGCAAGGACGGCCTGGGTGACTGTGCTGTGAGCAGTCAGTCGGGGAGGAAGCAAAGGAGCAGACGCCTCCCAGGGACAGCGGGAAAAGGCTGATGGAGGAGGAAGCGCCCGCCCCATCCTGACAGTGGCGGGGATTTACCAGGCAGGCGGAGGGGAGCTCGAGAGAGAGGAGTCAGCATGAGCAATGGCACGGAGGTCCCAGCACACACAGGAGCTTGCCTACAGCCCTGAGTGGCCGGAGCACAGATGCCGGAGGAGGAGGCAGGAGAAGTGCCTGGAAAAGTGACCAAGGGTCTTGCCCTGAGGAGCCTCCTGCAGGAAACTAAAGAGAATGTGTCAGAATGAAATAAGATAGACAACGTGGAAAGGATTTGAAAAGTTTAAAATACTCGGCAAATGTGATGAATTAAATGGGTCACTAGTTCCTGCCCTCTCAAGTGTCATTGGTCATTGCCCTTCTCTGAAGATGCTGCTTCTAGTGGTGGTCACCACTTGTGAGGGCACTGACCGAGGACACAGCTGACAGAGGCCACTAAAAGAAGCATGGTGATCAGCCGTGCCCTTGACCGCTCCCCCAGCTTCGCAAGACACCCCCACCGAGGGCCCTGTTACAAGCGCCACTCAGAATTCTCTGGCGTGCAGGCTCCATCCAAAGTGCATCCAAGTGTATAAATTGTGTTTGAGGACAAAGTCTAAGGGTCATATAATCCTTTCCCACCTGAAAGCATTCTCAGTGTGGCCTTTGTGACAAGTTAGACTGCCGGAATGTGTATCTCTGAACCGCATGAGCGAGGCCCGTGCTGAGCCTTCCCCAGCTGCCCACGCTTGCTGCAAGGTCCTCAGCCGCATTTGGGGGTCTGTCCAAGCACCGGTTGTTTATGAAAGGCGGTTCCAATGTGCATTCAGGGTTGAGTATCCCCTTAAAGAACAAAATTTGGGGGTATTAATCAAAGTCCTACCGCAAACTACCATCTCTAAATTGATACCTCCTAGATTGTAAAAACGTTTGTTATCCATGTAGCTTTGCAGCATAAAGCTCCTTCTAATACAGATGCTTATAACAAAACTCTGTAACCCAACAAGGGTTTTTTGCCCTGATTTCCAGGAAGCTTAATTTGACACCGTAAGAGCACAGCCTAAGAGTCCAACAGTGCCACTATCTAAGTGACCCGAAACAGGGGTTTATATCTCTCTGAGCCTCAGTTTGCTCATCCAAGAAATGGAGATAATAAAAAAAAAAAAAAAAACGCCTGGTGTTATAGTTAGAACTACATGTAAATCTAAACATAAACGTACAGAAGAGCCTAGTACCTGACACATACAATCAATATATTTTATTAATAAAAAGCAGCTGGCTTGGCCTATTGATTTGATAGTTACTAGTTTGTGAAGCAGAAATTATGCACAGCATTTTAAGCTCCAGTGCACAGTAGGTGCTTACAAATGTTCATTGTTGCCCAATAAATAATTTCCCCCTTTAAAAATAGGCTTTCTTACTTTGAGGTATCCTCTAAGTAAGAAACAAACATAAAAAATTACACAAAGCTTTCAATTCAGTAAGTCTTTACTGAAGACTTTACTGGCACCTGTGATGTGCCGGCACCGTGTGACCCACTCCAGCTGACACGGATGAACAAGATCTCATTTCCGCCCACGGATCTCGTAGTTCAGTGGGAGAGACCAGCCTGCAGACACCTCACTGCAGGATGGTGTCCCACGGGCTCCTATCAGAGCCACCGTCTGGGACAGAACCCCACACCAGATGGGCTGAGTGCCTGATAGGTGGGGTGTCCTTCCAGGAAGGACAGAGGACGGCTGGCCATAAACACCCTCTCACAAGAACCTATCTGTGGTTGAGCTCTAACACTTCACCACTCTTTTCTTCCTAGGAAAAATAGTGACAATCTATTAAGGTTTACGTCCATAATTAGCTGCATGTCACAGTCACCGTGTGTCAGGGCTGGATATCCTAAGGCAAACCTCTTGGGATGAAGGACTCAGAAAAGTGATTTGTTGAAGGTCACACAGCCAATCAGTGACCAAGCTGGCCCTTGAACTTAGGTCTCCTAACTCCCACAGCTATTCTTACACACCACAGGAAGACCTTGGCCAAGTCTAGGCCTTAATTACCAGAGAATCCCCATTGCAGTGTTCAGCATGCAACAGGGAATCAGTCAAAGGGAGATGCTCTGGGACCCAGGAGAGATGGACCTGTGCCAGGAGATCAGACTTCGGCAGAAGCCGTGTGCAGCTGCAGGTGTCAGGAAAGCGGCCGGGCTGGACCCAGGAGAGATGGACCTGTGCCAGGAGATCAGACTTCGGCAGAAGCTGTGTGCAGCTGCATGTGTCAGGAAAGCGGCCGGGGAGGGGAAGGGAAGCATTCCAGGTAAAATCAGGAAGTTTCACTAATTGCATAATCAGGGGCTGGTGGGAGCAGCCGTACCCCCAAGACAGCTTCCCCTTGTCAAAGTCTTATGCAGGGACCACCAATTATCCACTGAAAGCCACCCACACCATGGAAAGACCCATGCCACGTGCAGTTTTAAGCAAAGGTGGCATACACAGCACCACCAGTGATACAGCTATCAGATTTTTACAACTATATCTCAGCTCTGCCTGTTGGCATAGTCTAAGGGTCAACTCCAGCGTGTGTGTTGAACCCAGCCTCCACCTTTTATTGTAAATAAAGTTTTATTGGGACACAACCATGTCTATTCATCCACCTGTGGTGTATGACTGCTCTAGTCCCAACGGAGACCACAGGGCCTGGAAAACCTGAAATATTTACTAATTGGCCCTTTAAGAAAAAGTTTTTCAGCCCCCTGGGATAGCACCCAGTGTGATCTAATAGAAAAGGCATTTGCTGTGTCTAAATCCCATCTTTTCCTTTGAATTCCAATCAAAGCTTCATTTCAAGTTCCCCAAATTCACCAAGCTTGGGCTGGATGGGGTCCTCAGGAGAGTGGCGGGAGGTGTCCGGCTGCAGGCTGCAGGCTTGCCCAGCTTCCTGGTGCCCCCTCCCCCTTCCCAGTCCCAAGCGTGCAGGAAACGCAGCCCCCCTTCCAGGCCCAGGCTGACATCACCACGGTCCTGCTGCCTTGCTGTGTCCCTCCCCCCACACACTCCTGCCAGAGTCAAGCGCTCCTCTAGGTGTGCACTCAAAACGTGTAGCAGAGCACTACTCCAGCACCTTCCCTACCGCATTGTTACGTGTATTTTCCATCTATAGCCGCCTTTGGGAAAGGGATCGTGTCCTGTTCATCATCTTCATGCCTAGCAGAGGTCCTGGCAAGTAGAAAATTAAGTTGAAGGCAGTTTGAAAGGGAAGGCATCTTAGATATCATCCCATCAGATCCTTTCATTTTACAAATGAGAAAACTGAGGCCCAATGTCACAAGACTGGCAACAGCAGAGCCCTCTCGAGGGTCTCCCTCTACTAAGCCCAACACTCATTCTAGTGCACCACACGTGCATGTACCACAGCAGTCATTTATGAATGGTGTCATTATTTTCAAGGTAGCAGCAACAGGAATCTTCTCCTAAAGTGACACATCCATCCCCAGCCCCTGCAACCAAACGGCAGCCCTGGGCTACCGACAGCAATGACAGAAACAGCACACTGCAGCCACCCTCGTGCCTGTGCACACAATGGACCAGTGGGCTGCAAAATTAAACTCCTCTCTTTAGAGGCCATTTGTTTGTTAAGGAAGAGAATAAATAAGCTAACCTCATGGCCAGTTAAAAAAAAATGCACCCAGACAGACTTTATTTCACTCATCCAGGCCATAAGGGAAAAATGAGCTTTGTAATTGAAATTGTAATGGGATGAGTTGGCCATGGGGGCTGAGGACAGGATGTTCTCGGAGGTGGTATCATGAGAGATGATGTGCAGTCGTCATCAGTGAGTTGGCAGCTCGGATGTCTCTGCGAAGGAGCAAGAGGAAAGCATTCTGGATACAGGGTGGGGCTGGGGCACAGAAGTGGTCTGGACTCCAGAATGCACCGTGGGACTGGGCCACAGTGGGATTGTTTTGTGTTAATTATAAGGTGTGACCGTCCTTTGTCACATCTTTGTCTGCATCCTCCGTTCCCCTGGAGCCAGGCGGCATCTCCCTCGTCCCTCACAAGCCCACCCACATGCCTTACCTTCGCTCCTCCTGGGTACGAGGACGTGAGCCGGGGTCATGTTTACTCTCATGGTGAGTGAGGCCGAGAGTTTCTGCCGTCAGAGCATTTGCAAGGCACAACCTCTACAGGCTCCTGCCAGTTCCAAGGGAAGAATGTCAGGATCAGCTGGAGGCAGAGGACATTCTGGAAGATGCCCCTCAAATTATCCCACACAGGTGCCAGCCACATGGAGTAGACAGAGAACTTGCCTTAAAGGCCAAGAGGAATGAAAGCCAGCCTCGGCCTACAGCTCGCAGGCCTCAGTCTGCTCACATTGCAATGTCTCCACTGAGAAATGCGGGTAACTGCAACTCGGGAGCTGGGGGGGAGGCTGGAAGAAGCTCCCGCGCACCAGAGCTCAGCACAGAGCCTGAGTGGAGCGCTGTCGCTCCATGCAGGGCGGAGTGGTCCAAGAGAAGCCCCTGCAGCCCCTGACACCTGAGTCTGGGAGACTGGGGGGGGCAGGGACTGCGGCTCCTTCAGCCTCTGCCCCAGCACCTTGCAAGGGCTGGGCACACAGCACACTCTCATTCCTTTTTGTTTATTTCAAACGAACTTGAGTGCTGAGGAGAATACAAATCCCTGCCTTTCCCTCTTTTGAAAGACAACAGGGCCCCGTGCACCGCGCCCTTCTCTCCAGCTTCCCATCTCCCAGCACGGCCAGCCCACCTCTGAGCGTGCGCAGAAGGCACGTGAACTCTCCTTTCTTGGGTAAAATAAAATTAATGTGGGAAAGCTCAGGCTTTAGACTCAGACGACCTGGGTTTGAAGCCCCAGCTGTAGCTCTTCCCTGACCCAGCTACATGACCTCCTTGTGCCTCAGTTTCCTCACGTGATTTGAAATGCAAATCATGACAACACCCACTCTCATAGGGTCACTGCAAGGAAGAAATGACTTAATGTGTGTGAGATGCTGAGCAAAGTGTTTGGCACATAGCAAATGCCAACACTGGCACTGCAGTGGCTGCCACTGTCACCATTGTCATCGGCTTTCTTCTTCACTGTGAAATGACTAGTTCCTCCTTCACAGGGTGTCTCGAGAAGCCAGCAATATGTGAGGCCCCTCGCACAGTGCTCGGTGCCTAGCGGGTGTTGGGCAAATGTTGGGTGCCCTCCCGCAAACAAGTACTATGTAACCCCCAGTACGCGCGTGCACCCCGGTGGGCAGTGCCAGGCGTGGGGGTGTGCAGACGTCAGCACAGGCAGGCCGGCATCTGCGGGGGGGGGGGGGGGGAGGCGGGGAGACAGGCCTGGGATATAATTTAATTGATTCAACGGGGACCCCTGCTGCCCCCGGGCTTTCCTCGGGTCCTTTTCCTGCTCAGAGACCTGTGGAGCCATCTCAGGCCCTACAGGACATAAATCCTGCCTCATCTTCAGGCCCCTGTCCTCAGCCACCCCTGACACCTTGGCCAACTGTCCCTGCTCCCTGCAAATGGGGCAGAACATCCAAATCATTTTAATCGATAAGTGGCATATTCGCTCTTTACTTGTTTGTTTAGGGAATAAAGCACAATTGTCCAGGCCTTGCATATAAATGCAACTCTCACCTTTATTCGTACCTACTTTAGCCTTCACTTGCCAAACTTTTCTTCTCCTAAATAAACAATACATTAGTAACCACAGTATCGCTCATTTGTGAGTACTTGTCGTGCACCAAGCACTCTGTAGCCATTATATCATTAAACTCTCATAAGAAGCCAATAAGTAAATATTATAACATCTCTTCAGGGAGATAGAAACTGACACACAGAGAGGTTAAGTGACTTGCCCAAGTTCACACAGCTACCAAGTCAGTGGAGGAGCCGAAATTTGAACCAGAACAGTCTGACTCCAGGAATCTCTCACCTCTCAGGCTCTCTGCCTTTGTAATGAAGAAACCAAGGCTTTGCCCTAGCTGTACCATGCGCAAAGTCACGCAGGTGTAAGTGGTGGAGCTAGGACTCGAACTCAGGGCTGCCCGCTCCAACCCCACCTTCTTTACACGCAGCTTCGGTTCTCCCTGAGAATCTGCAATGTGCCTGGCGGCTCCAGGCAGGCTGCAAGGCTGCAGAGGCGCATTCCCAGGTGGACATATGGACATGTGACACTTCTCCTTTTGTCACCCGGTCCATGAGGCTGGTGGCTGCACCAGAGGAGGATATTGCTTTGGGCTCATATCCAGGCAAGGAGGAGGATGTTCCAGGGGTTCCACCCAGCCCTTCCTGCCATAACAGCCCCACTCCACAGGCCCGGGGCTAATGTGGAGCTTCTGGTAACATCTATTCAAATACTACACCAGGAACTGAAGAATAAGCACAGGATAGGTCCCTGAGCTTCAATGGTAGTCCAGTGTTTTGGGGTCCCCAGGAATTAGCATCCATAAAGAGCTGGCACTGAGGAACCCTCAAGAGGTCTGGGCATTTCCCTTTTCCACTTACCTGTGTAGTCACCCTCGTGGACAGACACAGGACCCTTTGGTGGCAACTTGGAGAAAGATTCACAGCATGTACTTGTGGCAATGCTGAGAGGTCCTTCCTCAGTAAGACTAAACCTCCACTTCGATCAAGCGGCTGAGGGGCTGTAAACCAACTCAGGTCTGAAAATTAGGTGAAAAGCAGTGATTCTGAGTTGTGGTGACTCTCGTTAGGTTTCTGGCCAACAGACCCAGAGTGTCCCCTGCTGTGCAGGTCGAGCACTATGGCAGTAGCTGCCTAGCTATTGCTTTCCTAGGGACAACATCACCGCTAAAGATCACCGCAGGCCAAAACATCCAGGTTCCCAGCTGGTCCCTGCTGCTCATTTGACAAATGCACTCACCTGGGCTCTGCATAGCCGTGCCACATGGCTGTGTCACTCCTGCATCCCATCTTCCCCACTGAAGTCAGGGTTTCTGTCCAGGTGGTGGCACCTTCACCATCAACCCAGGCTCCAGAGGCAGCCACCACGGAGCTCCCTGAGGCTACTGATGCATTTCCCAGTGAAAGGATCGTCCACTGGGCCCCCTCAGGAGCTGTAAGGGAGGGGCGGGATTGCACAAGCTCATGTTAAACCCATTCCAAAATCCCAACCTCCCTAAACCTTTGGATTACTAATCTGCATCCTGCCGGAATGGTTCTGGCATCTCAACCTCATTTAAATAGGAAACACTATATATAGTTTTTAGTTTTATTCAACCAGTTGTGCAAGCTATTAGACCCACTTCCAGGTGCACAAGCTATTAATAATACATTAAATCTAAAATCTCCGATAAGTACACCCATATCAATAAATTCCCCCTAATCTATCATTAAATGTTTTTCCCCTTTGTCTAAAATCTTTAGAAGTCATTTCCACATATTCCCAGGTTTCTACTGGATATAAATTAGCCAAATTTTGCAGTGACTTTGGAATCTAGGCTACCTTCTACTTGCTCAGACTTCATGGCTGCTCCCTTTACACTGAGATCTGACCCTGATTACGTATGTGTGTTAGTCTCTATCGCTGCCATAACAAATTAGCACAAACCTGGTAGCTTAAACTAATACAAAGGTAAAACTATTACCTTACAGTTCAGTAGGTCAGAAATCCAGCACAGGTCTCCCTGAGCTAAAATCAAGGTATCAGCAGGGCTGTGTTCCTTTCTGGAGCCCCTAGGGGAGCATCCATAATATTTCCCTGCCAGTCCAGCCACTAGGACTGCGTGCCTGGGCTTAGGCCCCGTCCCACGTCCTCAGAGCAGCAGGGCTGCACCTCCCTCACCAGCTTCCGTGGTGCACCTCTCTCTGACTCTCTTCTGCCTTTTTCTTCCACTTTTAAGGACACTTGTAACTACACTGGGCCAACCCAAGAGGTCCGAGACTGTCTCCCCATCTCAAACTCCTTAACGTAATCATACTTTCCACGTTCCTCTTGGCATGCAAAGTGACACACTCACAGAGTATGGAGATGATGTAAACATCTCTGAGGGGCATTATTCTGCCTAGCACAGTGCAGACCACATCTGAGCAATAAGTGGACGCTGATATGAGACTTGAGGGGAACGAGGCTTCCGCTCGGGTGCTACCTGCACCAGGAGAGATCCTTGCAGGTCCCCATGCAAAGGGACGCTAATCCTCTCAGGCCAGCACGGAAGGCTCAGGGATCCCGAGGTTCAGAATTCTCAGCTTGGTCTGAGTCCTCACGCAAGATGGATCTTGCAAATATAGGAAATAAGATATTATTTTAAGGCTTCCATACCTGCTCTCCAGTTTGTGACCCTGATGTAAGCAGAGGTTTAGAGTCCTGAGCTTGCTGGTTTCCATCTATATGTGCGTCAGCACACTCAGCAGCAGCCACGGCACATGCGGTCTTTGCAGTCATCACTACTGCCAAAGCCATCGAGCACAGCAGCCCCGTCACCCCCAGGCTTCACAGGTGCCTCAACAGAACCAACACAGGTGACAATTCAGGTAAGTGTCTTGCCACTGCATGCCAGGAGTTCCCCGCATCCCACTGCTACGAGCCAAGATCTCAGTGCTGCACTGAGGTGAAGGACATCACCAAGCCCACTCCAAGATCTCCTACTTGAGAGACCACATCCCGTACCAGTCAGGTCAGGTCAGAAGAACAGTGTCAGAATCACACTATGGATGTAGAATGTAAGTCATGACTTAGAAGAGTGCTGGAGAACTAAATTGTAAAAAGAGCTGTTGGGGTCCTGAGGACTGCCCCCCCAGAGTTGATGATTCACCAGAAGGACTCACAGGAGGACTCACAGGATGCAAATGCAATCCGCACAGGGAAAGGCGCCTGGGGCAAAGGCGGGGGAAATGGGCAAGAGCTTCCAGAGTCTTCTCCCAGTGGAGCCGCACAGGATGCACTTATCTCCCCGGCACCCAGCTATGGCAACACACAAGCGGTGGTGTCCACCAGGGAAGCTTGTTAGAGACGCAGTGCCCAGGGCTTCTGCTGAGTGCTTAGTCACCTTCTATCTGGCACATACCAGAACTCCAGGAGGAAAGCAGGTGCTCAGCATAAACCACATAGTTTGTACAAAGAGCTCCGGTACAATGAGCCACTCCATTTGGGGAATGATGGAGACCCTCCTGAAATCCAAATTCGCAGACACTAGCCAAGAGCCAACTTTGTAAGCAGGCCTTTCTAAGAAGAGGCAGGCGTGCCATGTTAACTCTTTCCTGCCCCAAAGGGAATGCAGACACAGACAAAGCACCAACCAGTAACTGCAGGACACAGCTATCACCTCTAGAACTGGATAAACAAAAGAAAGAGGTTGAAGTCATCAGAACCTAGAAGTATGGAAGAAAAGTCCCCACCAAGCTGAGATCCTGTCCCACGGAGTGGAGGGAGCTGTCCAGGCTGCTGGTAGCTGTGAGGGGCCAGCCGAGGCTATTTCTGTGAGCGTGGAGCAGAGGCAGAAGCCAGAGCCCCTGGCGGGCAGGTGGAGGGGCCTTGCTGGGTGCTTGCAGGAGCAGGAAGCAAAGGGGAAAGAGGAAGGCCCTGGATGCCCCCAGTGCAGAGCCTTACAGGGAGCAACTTGTAGTGCAGAAACACGGTTTGCAGAGGCGCAGCCATGGGACCACAGAGCCAAGGGGGTTTGGAGCAGAGACAACAGCTGACTCACCAGCACATGCGAGATATGCCCAGCCTCTGCCAAGAGCTTTCATATCTCATCTTCGTTAATTGAATCTTTACAACAAACCAAAGAGGTAAGTCTTCTTATCCCCATTGTAAAAGGAGGAAATGGAGGCTCCAAGGGGTTCAATAAATCTCCAAATGTCACCTTATGTCCAGCGCTGACTACACTGTCCATTCAGCTGGAAGCGCATTTGCCAGGAAAGACACAGCAGAGCAGGAAGGGGGAGAAAAGTCAGCCTAAACGGGCGGGACGGTTGCTGGGCCTCCAAGTGCTGGTCCCTCCCTGGGTCCCACGGAAGCAGACACGCTCCCACCACTTCTGCCACGTGACCACCTCCCTGTTGCTGCCCAACCACTGCAGGCACGGCCACTCTGCTGTGGCTGCCACCAGGAACCCCAAGTCCCTCCAGCAGGAGCAAGCCACTGCCGGGGCCGGGTTCCTGGATGTGCTTCTTGTGGGTCATGGCAAGAGATGCAAACCAAACAGAAGACAATCGCAAACCACTCTGCCCCGGACAGGTTCCTCACAGTCTTTGAAAAACACTTAGGGAGCATTTTCTAAGTTCTTCCGTCTCCAAGTGTAGGCTTGGTATTCCTACGGGCGGTGCCCGAAGCCCTGTGGCCCATGCTGGAGGAGGGCCTGCCCTGTCCTCAAGGAAGACACCCACCCACTCCTACCGAGTCGGCTGTAAAACCGTGACCACCGTGCACACGCACACAAAAGGCCAGCGACGCTGCAGAGAGGGAGTGTCTGCAGAACAGCCGCCCTGGGCAACAGATGCCGACAGCATCAGCAGTGATCTGTTATTCTTACACACGGCAACAGGGCTCCCAACAGGCCTAGAACAACAGAATTAATGGGTTGGAAAGCAAGAATCTAATGTAGGAGCTCTCACAACTCCCCAGACTAGCTGAATCACCGTGCACATCCAGTAAGTCACAGCACGTGGGTTTGCGCTGGCTGGGACTGCACAGGGACTGCGGGAGGACCCGGGAGCAGGTGGGGAGTGGAGAGCCAGGGGCCAGGGACGGCAGGTCACCCCCCACCAGCTCCACCAAGGAAGCAAAGCACCACTTTCACGAAAAGCTGCTTTGAACTTCAGTAAAACAAATACTATTTACACAGCCTCCAAAAAATAAACTCCATAATGAGAGCAGGAAGAGGCAGAAGTCTACCCAGTTCACTCACAGGACAGCTAAATCATTTTTTATTGAATTCAAGTTTCATGGCCCATTAGAGGCCTGGAGAGAGAGTGCTCAGGGATGCTTTTGGACTAATGAGTGTTTTGCAAATTGTTTTCCTAACAGATTCGTTGTCCTTTTTTTTTTTTTTCCTGAGAATTGTAAGAACCTTTGGTTTGCATGATATGGCTTTGCATTTGAAAAATTACAGAAACTATTTTGACTGAGCCTAATTTATTTCCGTTATTAAGAGATGTTGGTGTTTTGCATCTGCCTAATATGTTTTTGACACTGATATAAGGATGCCATCATCCATCAGAGCACCACAGCCTCCTACACTCACCATTCCACATTTATCAGCTACCCCTGACAAGTGTTCTCTCACTTCCCCCACAAAGACGTGAGCTGCCTTGGTGGACAGAGCAAGCCAAGCAAACAGAACCTACAGACAGCCCTGTGCACGCACCAGCTCCCTCCCCAGATGTCTCAGAGCAGAGGCGGGTGGGGAGGGCCAGCCGGCCTCCTCCACAAGCCCTCTGCCCAGCCAGATGCTGCGGACAGCCCTGCAGCAGACCATCCCACCCCAGACGGGACAGGTCTGGCTAGCTAGGGCCTCCCTGGATCTACCAGAAAAGCGTTCGTTCTTCTGTTGGGGTCAGCAAACTGATGAGACGTGGCCAGGAAAAGCCATCTTGCTCACCTCGGGAAAAGAACCTGCTGTAGGCAGGAGGCGGACACGTTGAAATTTCACCACCAGGGAGCCAATAAATTGTCTGAAGTGCTCGTTAGCCTGGCCTGGGTTTGTCACTTCCAGTGGAGGAGCCATGGCATCTGCAGCTGGAAGCCAACCCATCAGCAACTATTTATTGAGTGCTTTCCAGGTGAGCACTGTTCCACGTTCCGGGAATACTGCCAGGGTCAAAACAGACATGCCGGACTCTAAGCAAGTGCGTTCTCAGGTGCAGAGACAGACAAATGAACAGATAAACAAATAAATGGCAAGCACCGCCACGCGCCCTGGGGGAACAGCACAGCACAGCGTGGGGGGGGCGTGAGACTTCCCTGCTTCAAATCCCTCCTAGGCGTTGACGAAGTCTATGGGCTTCCAGGGAAAATACAGTGTGGGGTTGGTTAGAAGTAGGAGAAAAATGGTGGGGAGGGGAAAAAAGCCAGCACAGGCTTTGAGAGCCGTAATAGAGCCGTAATAAATGATTTGGTTTCTGCTTTCCCAGCAGGGCAGCCATGGGGCTGGCCGGGGGAGAGGTGCGGGTAGGAAGGTCGCCGCAGCTGGAGGGAAGAGTGGTGGCTTATGGCAGAGCGAGGGGAGGACAGGGCAGCCCTGGGGACGGCTGCTGTGCCCATGGCAGTAGAGACGCGGCCGGGACGCAGGGGTGTGGGCCGACTTGGACACTGGCTGGTGGAGCTGTCGGCAGCAGGACCTGCTGGCACCCTGACCTGCGGTGGGGAGAGCGGGCGGGGAGGTAGCTCAGGTTTCCCACTGGGCAAGAGGCTGATGGGGAGATTTTCCCTGAGAAAATCACAGTCTGCAAAGAGGTTTGTAGGGGGCATAAGAAACTCACATTAGATAATACTGAATTTAAAAGTAAGATGCCTGGGATGCAGCTGGATTTACCCAATCTTTGATTAATGAGTGAAGTCAGAGCCTCAGAACCCTGTGTTCCCAGAAATACCCACACCACCCATCAAAGGAAAGAAGAGGTGAAGAGGACCCCGCCCAGCTGCAGCGGTGTAGAGAGAGCCCATCCCCCCTTCCTTCCATGGGACACTCAGACGCCATCACCCCGGCACCCACCCTCCCGTGTAACCGGAGTCTCCCAACCACCTGTGCTGCCCGACTTCTCTCCCAGATGCGTCCTGTCCAGCACTCCATGTCCCCAGGCTGAGCCCACCTCCCACCCTTCACAACTCCCAGAGCACTCTCGACCCTCCGGCCAGGATTCAGCAAAATCCCCCAAATTCTCCAACTGTTTCTGAATGTTTTCTTCTCTTCTCTGTCCAGCGACTCTCCAGTGCTGGCGAAACTGGCGACTCGCTAATCCAGTGGACTGCCTGGCCGCTGTCCCTCCGCCGCCTGGGCCTCTCGTCAGTGCTCCCTGCACACACCTGTCCCGGGTCCCGCCCTTGATTCCCTCCATCGCTCTTGCCTGCAAGACTTGGCCCCAGCTCAGTCCTTCTGTCTGCATCTCTGCACCCAACTCCGGGAGCCGGCTGGACACGGCCAGCCAGGAGCACGCCGGCCGGTCCCGCTTTAAACGCCTGCTGCCCGGCCAGACCACGCTCCAGTCCTTCCGCTCTGCCAGTGACTTAGGCACTGCTGCACGCACGACCCCTCCTCATCCCTCCTCCTCCTCTGCACGAGCCCGGCCACCCACTCCTGCGCCCTGTGCCCTGCTCGCCTGCTGTTCCCGCGGGCCTGGGCTCCCGCCACAGCTGCCCTTCTGACGTCGCACCTGACACAGCCCCTCACAGCCCCCGAGGACACCGTCCCCACAGTCCTCTCCCATCGCCCCAATGCCATCCTTCGTTCTACTCCATACCGGATTGTGTCTACCGGTACACAAACGTGCTGTTATCCCCCCACCTTAAGAAAACAAACAAAAAAAATCCTTTGACTGCATATCCACCTTTAGCTGCTTTCAACTATTCTGTTTCCCTTTACAGCAAGAACCTTTGAAAGAGCTGTTTAGACTTGCCCCGCTTCCTCTCCGGCTGCTTTCTGGTGAGTGCGCTCCCGACGGGCTTCTGCCCCAGTGCTCCACTGACACTGCTCCTGTCCGGGGTGCGAGCGACCTCCGTGTCACTCAACCCAGTGACCGATTCAGGGCCTCATCTTACCTGACCTTTCAGCCCTATTTGAAACAATTTCTCCTCCTCCTTAAAACCCTTGCTTTGCCCGCTTCCAGGAAAGTGCTCTCTCTCGGTTCTCCTCCACCCTCCCTGGCTGTCCTCCTAGCCCCCCGAGCTCTGTCCACAGACCTCTCTTTTCCATCTACACCCACACCATATGCAGTCACCTCCAGCCTCCCCACTTCAAATTATCACTCACAACACTATTATCTTCCCAGTGTATAATGATGCGGAGAATGGCGGGTGCCGGGACGCTGCCACTTGCCGCCTCCCTGTAGCTCCGCATCTCCGCGGGCCAGCGCGGTGTGTGGCCGGTTGGAGGGCACGCTGCTGGGGCCGGGCCACGGGCAGAGAGCCGCCAGGGACCCCGCATGCCAGAACGCCCCAGGCCCATGTGCTGCTGCCTGTTTCCGGCCACCCTGCTTGCGTGATCCTGATTGGGTAATTTTTGAATCCCACTGTTTTTGATTGGATGTTAAAGCTTGTTGTTGATTGGATGTTAAAGCTTGTAGTTGATTGGACACTTTTTGAGCCCTACCAAGGGTATAAAAGCAGGGGCAGAAGGGTCAGAAGATGGGAAGAGTCAAAGAGAGCTGCTGTAACACTAGGTGTGCTGAGCCTGCTGTGGAAGAATAAAGGCTGTTGTCCGACTCTTCATGTGCTGCTCGGTTCTTTCCCCAGCCAAGAGCTGTAACACTAGCTGTACACATTACCACACCGTATTACCAGCTTGACCTCTCCTTGGAACTCCAAATCTGAATATTTACTGCCCGTGGGACTTCTCTGTCCCAGTATCTAATGGGCTTCCAACCCGAAAATCAATGTCCGCTTGCCTCCCTCTACCTGTTTCTCCTGCAGCCTTCCTCCTCTTAGAAAGCAGCATTCCATCCTACCAGGTGCTGCTGCCAATATCGCAATCATCCTACACTGCTCACTGTCTCTAACACCCCATATCTGATCCACCGACAATTTCTGTTGGATTTACCTTCAAAGTCAACTGGAACCCACCTGCCTTCCCCACCCAGCTACCTGGCCCAAGGTCCTAGAGTGGTATCTCTAGCCCGTGCTGATGCAGGAACCCTCCCACTCAGCTTCCGGCTTCTCCTTTGTGCCCTGAGGTCTGCTTACCAGGACTGCCAGAGGGATCACATCTCTCAGTCCTTCCCATGCCCCATAACATCAGCCAATTCCTGACAGCAGCCCACGGGCCACAGACTAACTCTATGACATCTTTCTTGCCACGTTCCCCTCACGCCATCTGTTTCAACCACGTTGCCTCTTGGTGCTCTGCAAACATGCCAAGTACATTCCTGCTTGGCCCTTTCATTTGCTGCTCCTCCTGTCCAGGGGGCTCCTCCCCAGACTTCTGCCTCAGCTGCTGACTTCCCTCCAATCCTTTCTCCAATGTCACCTTTCCAAAAAGGCCTTCCCTGATTGTGCAATACAATGTAACACCCCCAGCCCTGCCCCCGGCTCTTTCTCTCTCTAGAACACTCACTCTTACCTCACAACATGTGTACACCAAAGATCTCCCTGTTCAGTGCTTTGTCATCTCTCTTTTCCAACACCTGTCCTGACCCCCATGCTATGGGACCTTGATCACAGCTTGCTGGATCCACAGGGGTCCCGGTTAAAGGCACTACCCCCAGGAATGCTGCATTCCGCTGGGGACTCCAAATGGTGGGGTTACAGCCACTGCATCTGTTGCCCCTGGTGGGGAGATTTGTTAGGATACAAAAGGTGTCTACTTTTAAGGTCACCGCTGGTAACAACCACAAAGACTTAAAAGAAGAACAAAAAAGTTGCACCCAAGTCCTCTCCTTGGTCTGTGATCTCTAGCTCAGCTGCCAGCCTTCACAAGAATCTTGCACGGTGAAAAATCAGAAGGGATCATCCTCCTCCCTTTGATAGCTTTCCCATGGTGCCACTCAGTGCAAACTGGGAGACAGCTGGGACTCTCACTTCTGTGCCTTCCGTCCCTGCCTCTCCACACACCAGGTGGATGCAGCCTCACATCTCTGCCCCGGAGAGACGCTGTGGCACCAGCCCCCACCCCCAGCCTCTCCTTTGAAGCAGGTAGATCTGCAAGTGCAAGAGCCGGGCCCGGCCTCCTTCAGGCCTGCTCTTGCTCTCCGACCCTCTCACCGGAACAGCAGCGAACCCCAGCGTGCTTGCTTCCTCCTATATTTCGACACATAGCTTGTTCTCCTTTAAGGTTAAGTTGCTCCCGCTACAAAAATTATTAGTTAATTGAGTGTAGGCAGCACAATACAGAAGAGGCCGTGAGCATGGACAGCTGAAAAGTGGTTTTCTCAAATCGTTTCTATTAACACTGAGAATAGATTCCCAGGACACTGTGCCTTTGGTGCCAGGGAGTCGTCCTAGAAATTAGAAGCCGTGCTGGCTGCTTCTGCACATCCCCGCGCCGCCTCAGAGCCGTGCCACCCGCGAGAAGGCCCTTCATCCCGAGGAGCTCACCCCGGGAAGCCCAGGGCAGCAGCAGCAGGAGTTTAATTACAGCCACCTTCAAAACTCAGGCGGCCACGCCTCCCAAGTCCCCATCAAAGCAGCGAGGACAGAGCAGGGCACGCGGCTAATGAAGAGCCTGCACCTGCTTCTCTGCAGCCCCCCGGGGGCCATCATGCTTCCCGTGGAAAGGACAGCAGCGCAGCCTGCGACCCGCCCCTCTCGGATCAACTTCATCTCGACGCGTGGCCACTCACAAGGCACACGAGATTAGGAAACGACGGTGATTGTCTGTTAATTGGCCTTTGTAGTAAGTCAACGGTGAACTGCTAGTGAGCCTGCTGGAAGAAAATTATACTTATTTTTACTGAAGGGCAAAATAGCCCTTTCCATCCTTTTGCAAAAGAAAAAGAAATGAGAAATATTTCAGTGGAGTCAGTGGAAATAAAAGAAGTGAGGGGTGAAAGTAGGAGGGTAAAGGCTTTGCATCTGGCTTAAATGCAATCTTTTGTTAGACATCTTCTAATTATGAATTATTATTTCAGTTATTATTGGAAAAACGGTTGTCAATTGCTAAATTACCATGTTTCAGTCACTCCACTAAGAAGAATTATTTGACCCAGCAATGCTCAAGCTAATTTTGCCTTTGAATTTCCCTTAATGCTAAGCAGAAAGTTCCACCACTAGGCTGAAGTGATTTTTGGTCTCCCTTCCTGGATAAAAATGTATTCCTCCCAGTAGCGGCAGATGCCAAGTCACCAGAGAAGCGTTAGTGAGGACGTCGTCTAGCCGACAGCAAGCAGAGGTCTTCACTACATATATCAAGCAGACCCTGACTTCCTTTGTTGTAGAGAATAAATCATGCCTCCACAGTCTGACGCAGGGCTACTTAGACAATGCATTATTTCATGTGTTTGTAGAATAAGCAAAGGGGCATTTGATACCTTCCCCACTCCCCGTCCCCCTGCCACCTGCCTTCTCCCAGGTCTCCAGCAGAGTCTATCCTAACGCTGAAGAGGAAAGAAAAGTCTTGCAGCTCTGACCAGGATCCTGGGGCGAGGAGGAAGGATGTGATTGCTTCCCAAGGGGAAGAGGGCTCTGTTCCGGGAACGATGAAATGTTCTCTGGTCCAAAAGGGAGGAGACAGTGTAAGGAGCAATGAAGTGCAGAGGGCACCCTGCAGGGCCGGGCTCCCCTGGCTTCCGCCCTCACTCCGCCTTCACAGGAGTGAGACCTGTTGCAGGTACTCAACCTCTTACAGCCTCGGTTTCCTCACAGGTTGTAAGAGTTAGTATTACCTACTGTAAACACTGGTGCCGAAGCTTCAGGTTACTATATACATGGGGCCTTTTTATAGATGAAGTAGTGGAAGCCCGGAGAGGAAAATCAGTTGTCAGTGGACACACAGCAAGTTCCTGGTCTAGTCAGGGTCAGAGGCACCCTCTTCATCGTACTCCTTCCCCCGACCCTCAATTCACAGTTCAGCCACAGCAACCCATGAAAGAAAGGATGCAGATTGCTTTCATTAATTATTTCTTAACTTGATTACACATTGAAATGATAATATTTTGGATATATTTGTTTAGATAAAATAATTTTATTAAGTTTAATTTCACCTTTCCTTTTTTAATGAGACTACTAGAAAACTTAAAATTGCTTTTGTGATTTGCATTACATTTCTAGGGAATGGTGCAGGACTAACCCATAATCAAATTTCATTTGTCTCAAAAATGTCTTTTTGCAGTTGCATAGTTCAAGCAGGTGTGTGTAGTTTACAAAAACCCCCCAGGTGATATTCCTCATCACCTCTGGGTGAGAGAACCAGTGGTCTGGGGCTTTGGTTCCAAAAAAAAAAAAATGACCTTGTAATGATACTAGATGGTGTTTGTAGCACATGCTCTTGGGGAAGCAGCCGGCACCAGGCCCTCAGCCTTCACAACCTGGATGAAATTACAAATTACAAATTCCCCTTACAGGAAAATTGCAATTTCAGAGAAGCCCCCAAAGACATGTACCTGTTTCCTTATCTGATCAACACTATGATTCTCTACTAATAACATTATTAGAACCACCTTATTCCAGATATTTCATTCAACACACATTTATTTATGTCTACATGCCAGGCACTGTTCTAGGCCTGGGTATTCAAGAATGACAAACTGGTGGAGATTCCTGCCCAAATGCAGTTGGCACTCTGGTAGATAGTAGATCCAGTTAGGATGTGTTTGGCTGCAGGAAACAGAAAACCCTGACTCCAGTGGGCTTCGCAGTAAGCACATGTGTTTCTTCACATACCAAAAAGTCCAGAAGGACGGCGACTCTGGCTGTGGGTCCAGGAGTCCGGCTCAGCTTCCCTGAGAATCTCTCGGCCCTGTCCTGCTCCACACGAATGCCTAACTCTCGGGCTGCTTGGCAAGGTACCCACGTCACCACGCATGCCACCTCCACTCCCTCATCTCTGCTTCTCAACGCACCCTTCTGCAGTCTGGCCCTGAGCCCCTCCCCTTGGGAGTGGCTGTCCAGTCCCAGTTCTCTTACCTGGCTCCATAGCAGCCAAGAGCTGGGTCAGGGTCAGGATGAAAGTTATGGTCAGGGTTAGGGTTACTCAGGGAGCTGCTGCTCTTCTTCCTCCCTTCCCAGGTCTGTTCCTTCTCTTCTCTGCCTCCTCTTCCTCCTCTACCTTTTACATACTTCCACCAGAGAGCTCATTTTCCCCCTGGCTCCAGCAGGACAACAGCTCCCAGAGCTGGCCCACAGCCTCGCTCGCCATGACCTCAAGCTCTAGATCCACTTTCTCAGCCGCCTGCAGGACGTGTTCCTGGCTACGGCACCGTTGCCTCTGTCCACCTGGCTGTACAGACGCTACCTTAAAGTCCTTTGGGGATCACCTTGCTTTGTGAAGTGAGCGCTAGAGAGGATGGTGCTTGGGGACTGGGCAGTGGGAACATTGACAAGAGGGTAAAAGTGTCGTCCACTGCTCGGCGACTGCTGACTACACTGGCATTGTAGTGCCAGGTATGGTTAAAATGTGTCGCACTGAGCAAGGTAAAGTAGATACTGCCAATGAGGTGTGGGCAGAGTCCTGGAGTAAGTCAGGAAGTCCCAGCCCCAGTGCGGCAACCCAGGGGGCGGGCAGGCCCTGCTCCTGGACGAAGACTCCGAGGTAGAGGCCAGCTGGGGCCGAGCACCACTTGTTCAAAATCTCGACACCCAGCTTCCCTCTCTACGTCATCAGGCAGAGCTGGGACCTGCCACCAGCCAAACCACCATGCGACATTCTCTACCCTGGGGGCCAGAGGACTCAGGCCCTGAGAAGATCCTGCCTCATGCCCAAGGCCAGTGACCAGGGCGCCAAGCCGGCCATGCCTTCTGTCCCCCTTTGGCCATTTCGCCCACATGAATGGGCCTCTGCATCCCCAGTGCCCGTGCTGAGTGCTTCATTTGATTGAGTCACGAGCTAAGGAAGATTAAAACATAACCTGTCCTGTCACCCCACCCCTTGATGACTCCAAATGACTAAGAGAGCTTTCTAGAATTCCTGGATAAAGCTGAACTCCACATCTTCCCCTAAAACCAGCTCCTTCTCTCAACTTCCCCTTCTTCCACCCACAGCATCACTTCTCTCCTGGGCTCAAAGTCTCCTCCCCACCCACCGCATGGGGCACTTCTAGACTACGACATTCACTCGCCGCCTCCTCTCCTGTCACTTTTGCATGGGCATTGCAATGGCTACCTAATGAGAACCCCAGCTGCAATCAGCACGCTGCCTTCCATGTCCCCAAGTCTCACGCCTCCCCTGCCTAATGAGGCCCCAGCTCCCCGAACCTCAGGGAAGACGGCTTTGGAAACGCATGCCCACAGGGACAGCACTGGGTTCCAGGGCTCCGTCCCCAGGCCTACCTGCAAGCCTCCCGAGGAGAGACTTTATATTTTCTCAAGAATCCCAGCATTAAATCTCAAAGTAGGCATTCTCATCCCATTTTATAGAATAGAAAACTGAGGCTCGGAGAGGAAAAACAATTTCTCCAGAGTCACAAAGCTGGCGTGTGGCTGAGCCTAGATTCTGACCCAGCCGTCTGGGCCTACACCAAGTCTGCTCCTGCGCCTCGGCCCTCCCACCACGGCAGGCGGACAGCAGGCGGAGGAGGGAGTGTGGCCTCCTTCACCCCCGTCTCCTCTGTTCCCAAACAAGGCCTGGCACACAGCAAGTCCCCGTTAATGTTTGTGGAATGTTGGAGAACAAGAAGTGTTCACACAGCAATGCACATCTGTAACAAAGTGAACAGGAAATGCAAGTTGGGCCCAGACTGTGAAGGGCTTCATATATCTCAGTGAAAAAATAAGAATTGATTTCTATAGACAAAGAGAGGTCGCTGCAGCTTTTAAATTAATGAATCCTCTTCAACAGCTGCACCCTGAATCTGCTATCAAGAGTCTTGGAAGAAAAACCAAGCTGAGAGGGAATGCCTTCTAGTAGCTTCACTCCTTGTTAAAATTCTCTGGGAATGATCTATCTCAAGCAAGACATGAAATTACTGATTTTTGCTCTATCTTCCCTGATTTGCACAGAGCTGCCCTTTTGAGATCCACAAATTTGCAATTGTCATGCTGCCATTAAGTCTTCCAAAATATTGATTTCAAATGCGAATTCCCATCCTCACAGATTACCTCCAAAAGAAGTATGTCAGAAAAAAAATCTTATTTCCCCACCCTTTGCTCTGAGTCCAAAGCCACTTACAAATTTAATATTAAGTTCAGAAGCAGCTGATGTTTCAACCCAAACTTTAGAGGTGGAGAAACTGAGACCCAGTGTGATGAGACACCACATTCAAGGAACAGTAATGCTTAGGACTCACGGGCTGCGCTCACTTTGTTCTATGGAAAGGACTTTTGTGACCGTGTTCGGCAGGATCTATCACTGTTTTGCATCTCTGCTCCTTAACACTCTGCAATCCGACCAAGTCAGTCCCAGAATTTTTGCTGAAACTACTGGGAAAGAAGAGCTCTGTCCTCACTGGCACGGTCTGGAGCTGACAGTCACCCTGTTCACCACCCCAGGGGTGGGGGTGGGAGGTGTCCGCTTGAGAACAAGCCTAATGGAGAAAATCAAGCCAATAGGTAGGAAAGGGAGCCGGCTTTCTGACGACACTCCCCTGGAGTGAGCTGTGCCTGAAGCCAGAGTCACTTCTTGAATTTCTAGTTCCATGAGCTCATAACCAGCCCTGAGAAAACAACCACAACAATCACAACCACTTTTTCCAAGCTGATTTGATCAGAGTTCGGTTACTTGTATCTAAAGAGTCCTCTGTATGGACATAAAGAAATATTCCGGATGGTGCCTGCTAAGTGCAGAAATGGGCAGTGTGTGAGACATGAATTTGGCACAGAGAAAAGAGTAAATGAGAGGGGGTCGTGGGTAATGGAAAGAAGCAGAGCACCACAAAAACCACAACTTGAGGTGTGAAGAGGGAAGCAGAAGGACACGGCAGGAGCACGTGCAAAGGTAAGGAGTAGGAGGCCGCCGCAGGCCAGCTCAGAGGGGCCGGGCAGCAGGGACAGCCCTCCCTGCCGTCTAGGACCAGGGCGGCCAGGACCACAGCGCGGCTGCTTCATGAGGCAAAGGGAGTGCTGAGGGGCTGGAACCGAGGGAGTCGCAATCTGCTCTGAGTCTCCAGGTATCACTGGAGTGTCAACGCCTGTGGACAAACTGGGAAGAACGTCTCCCACTCAGGCTCTTGCCCCACGTGGCTAGCGGCAGCGCCCCTGTTGTGTCGGGCCCGGTGGGTCAGGGCTGCATCTTGCACCCCACTGAATCACCCCAGCGCCTGGCATGGAGCCAGCACCACAGTGACATCTGCATAAGTGATAACACCTTATATTTATCTGATGTTACATGGTTCTTGAAGCACATTCACCAGCGAGGCTTTGTCTGCTCTCCGGAAGGTAATCCACCAGGGATTTTTCTCACTGCTCAGAAATGAAATGTTGGGGAGCATGAATGCCCCACCCAAGGGCTCACCAGGTCTTCTGAGTCCCAGTGCAGTGGCCCTGGTCCACTGTGCTGGCACATCCTTTCCTGCCCGACCCACCAATGACCTGACCCCAAAAGGCAAGGCAGGTGAGGGCTCCAGGGCCAAGGAGTAGTAAGTGGCCTTAGGCAGCCTAAATGTCACTTCCCCCAAAAGGCCATAGACACCCCTGCAGTTCTCTCTATAGAACCTGGTGCTTTCCCTTAGTGGCACTTGCAATTTCACATGACCTACCTAGTGGTATGTTTGTTTAACATGTCTCCTCCATTAGACTGCATGCTTTATAAGAGCAGGAACTGTGTCCTTTTTCTAAACCACTGATAAGCAATGCCTGGCATAGAGTAAGCCCTCAATATGCTGATAACTGGGGCAAATGAATGAATAAATACCTGGAGATAGAGCCATGACCTTGACCTCAACATTTCCAGTTTCCTCTGAGCAGCCTCCAGCCTGTGGCCATGGTGGCAGCAGTGAGATTCAGACCGAGGCAGAAGAGACCACGTCTCAGAACCACTCGTGCTCACTTTTATCTTGGCACCAGCTCCTTCTTCTTGGCCTTAACCCACTTCGGTGTCCAGCTTGTACCTGGACAGTGGTGCCCGTGACTGCCTGTGGTATGTCTCCTCTTAGATTAGAAAGGCATGCACGCGTGGAGCTTAAAGCTGCTGAGCTCATGCCTGCTTTGCTCAGCCCACGCCCCAGGCTGACTGTATGATCTGTAATGCATGTGTCGGGCATCGTCAAATGTTGTTTAATAACATGTCTACAAAGAAGGCTGTCAGGAATCCTGGACCATTGAGCAGGGTACAGCGTTTGATCTGCTCATTATGGAAGGTGAAACTAAAAGATGAAAGAGGATGCAGAGGGACTAAGGGAGAGGAGGAGTTGGCCAGGACAGGGGGTCCCCCACACTGCTGCCAATGCAAACGTGAAACTGCCTCTGTCCTGCTTAAAAGCCCTCCGGGGGCTACTCGGAGCCCACGGCAGACGTTCTCAGCTGCTGCTCTGGGACAAGCCAAGGCGTGTGTTGCAATCGCCTAGGAGATGTGCTGCCAGTAATTCATTATTAATAGAAATTAAAATTTAGAAATGAGATTTTTGTTTATAATATGGAACAATGCTCCCTGACTCTGTGTGTGTGTGTGTTCTCCAGTGGGAGAGAGGCAGGAACCGGCCGTGCCTGGCGGGCACTGCATCTGACCCCACAGTGACCAGGAGAAGCCCGGAATGTGGGAACGCAGCTCTCCCGGCGTGGCCGAGACCACTGGCCCAGAGAGGGAAGCCTCCAGTTCTCGGAAGGGCATAAGACCCTCCGGGTGCCAGTGCCCCACCTGTGCCGTCCCCTCCTGCCACACCTCAGCTCTCTCCAGTGAGTCCACACTCTTCTGGGCCCATCCACACCCTCTCGACTTCCTTTGCTCCCGCCACCCCCGGCATTCAGAAAGCCCTTTCCCGTCTGTGCCAGCTCAGGCCTCCAGACTCAGCCATGGAGCCTTCCAGAGTCCTGGGATCTCTCTGTCTCTCAGCTGCTCTGACTCCTCACTCTCCAAGTTCTTCTCTGACACGTCTGCTCACGCTTTCCTGGCCTCCCCTGCTGGCCCTTCCTCTGTCTAGCCTGTCCACTTTGGAGTGCCCTGGGGCTCACCCTTGACCCTTCTGCATCTGCACTCCCTGCGTGTTGGGACTCCTGAGTAATCGCACACCTTGGCTGCCTCCTGCGTGAGGATAAGTCCCACGTGTAAGCCTTTAAGCCTCGGCTCTCTCTAGAGACCGTCTTCCAATGTGGCAGTCTCCAGCCCCACACGGCACACCAGCACTTGATGAAACGAGGCAGATTGAGCTGAGATGTGCTGAAAGTGGAAAATATGTACCCGATTTTGAAGAATTAGTATCCAAAAGATGTAACATATCTCACTTATCATTTTATACAGATTGCATGTTGAAATTATAAAACTTTGTATATATATATAGGATTAAATCAAATAGATACTAAAATTTATTTCACCTGTTTCCTCTTTACCTTTTAAATGTGAGTACTAGTGGATCTAAGGATCACACATGTGGTCTGGGCGTGGCGGCTCACACCTGTAATCTCAGCACTTTGGGAAGCCAAGGCCAGGAATTTAAGACCAGCCTGGGCAAGATAGAGATACTCCATCTCTACAAAAAATAAAATTAAAAAATTAGCCGGGCATGGTGGCTCACACCTGTAGTCCCAGCTACTTGGGAGGCTGAGGTGGGAGGATCACTTGAGCTGAGGAGTCTGAGGAACAGTGAGCTATGATTGTGCCACGGCACTCTAGCCAGGCGACAGAGCAAGACCTTCTTACAACAAAAAAGAAAAAAAGAAAAGAAATCACACTTGTGGCTCACATCGCATTTCTGTTGGACAGTCTCATCTGGAGCACATTTCTCTGTCTACCCGTTTGCACTTGGACATCCAAGGGAAACTTCAGTTTTCATAGGAAAAGATGGAACTCTTGGTTTTCCCCTCACCAGTTCCCCCACAAATGTCTCTTTCTCCATTAGTTTTCTACTTCTCGGCAAATGGCACCACGATTTCCCTAGTTGCTTGATTAAAAGCTCAAGAATTAAACCCCTAAGTCCTCCCTTTTCTTCATTCTCTGCATCCAACTAATTTGCAGGTCTTGTGGTTCCTCCTCCAAACGCACCATCAGTCTGGGTGCTTGTCCCACCACCACTCGCTCCGGCCACTGCAGTGACCGGCGTGGCAGGACCCTCCGCGCCGTCTCCCACTTCTCCCCGCCCGTTACTGCCCACCCTCCACCCAGCAGCCAACGTGGTCTTTTCCCAAGGCCAACTCTTGTAACTCATTAAGTACAATTGGAAGATATTGAAGATCTCCTTAAAATCCAAGTCCTCATCACAGCGTACAAGGCCCTGCAAGGCCCCTTGTGATCTGGCCCTGCCAGATCTTTAACCCCTCCGCACCCCATGGGGTTTCCCACCCAGGAGTCAAGCTCATTCAGCCTTGTGGCCTTTGCACCCACCGTTCTCTCTGCCTGGAATGCTCTTCTCTGTCTCCTCTGCAGGGCACGAAGCCCCATCCTGGAGGGCTCCCAGACATGCAGGTAGCGTAGGCGCTGCCCTGTCTCTCCCTCACAGCACCCTGTTTTCACCCTTGTCATTCTCTGAAGGCACCCTGCTCATTTGTCGTTATCCATCCTGAGTCTGTGTCACTCCTGGGAGGCTGGTGCATGCCATGTTTTCCACCCCAGGCTTTGTCCTTGTCCTGGGTGACGGCAGCACCCATGTGGATGACCCCATGGTGGCCTTCTACTCAGTGCCTTGACCCACTCTCATCCAGTGGTCTTTTATTCCCCTCTGCCTCATACTGTCTCATCTTCTGAAGTTACCTCATCTACGTATTTGTCCTTCCTCCTTTAGAAAGAAAACACCCCGAGTGCAGATGCCCTGCCTGTCTGCACATCCACACCAGCATCTGTCGAATGAATAAATGCAGAAGGGATGCCACACACCCCTCCTGTGAACCCCCAAAATATTTGTGTTTGTCTCCATCCTGGTAATTTCCACTATGTATCTCTGCACTTAACTACCCACCCAGCTAAACAAGGAACTAACAGGACTAAGCTGTTTCTTACTTATTTTATCTCCTAGAATCTGTCACAGGGACAGGCACACAAGGGGAACTTGTGAGTTCACAATGAACCCAATTTATCTGCTGGTAGCTCTTGACTCTACATTTCTCAGAGCCGGTTAGTTGATATAGGACATACCCTTTCGGCTTGCCACGGAGCCTGGGGTCACACTGTTTTGAGTGTGCACAAGCTGTCTGTCGGTGGCTGCCTTCTCCAAGGTGTGCCCTCACGTGCATACAATGGCAGGTAAGGCTAGACCTGGGGGGGTGGGGAGGGAAGGACAGAACAAATGTGCAGACCAGAGTTGCCTGCATTCCTGACACCTTTTCACTCCCTGGGTCAGCCCCATCTGAGACCCAACTACATTCCTTATAACAAATTCCGCTTTCTTGTGCAAACCAGCCCCAGTGGATATCTGCTGTTTCCAACCAAAAATCCTCACAAGTGTGGCACACAGCAGGAAGGAGAGTTGGGGCAGCCTCTGCCCCACACTTTTCAAGGTCTCGGGTTTGCCAAATGCAGCCCAGGGTGATCTCAGCCTGAGGAAATACCAAGCGTCTCCTCTCTGCACAAATGCTGGGTCCCAGCAAGGAAGCGGACTGGGTGCCTGCCTCCTCCTTTACTGCCCACTGCTGTGAGCCAGGGCCAGGGTCCCTTGGGGCTTCAGACCAAAGATGTGAAAAATTCATGTGTATCTTGGATTATGCAGCATGTAGGTTCCTAAAAACTGTACGTGAATCACATTATTAAAAACAGAGTCCCCTCTCCCCACTAACCATGGCTATCTGCTCACAGACGCTTTTTCTTCCTTTCTGATTTATCTCCAATTGGCAGCAACGAACTATAACCCTAGCTTCACATTTCTCTCCTTCCCAAGTGGCTCATCAATCAATCAACAAAATTTTCATTCAGAGCCTATTATGTGTAAGACATTGTTCATGATCTGTAAAGAGCACAGGGAGTGCACCAAACACACTCGGGAAACTGCTATCTGTGAATCCTCCATAAAGCCACGTGAATAGTCAACCTCTTTTTTATCTCTTCTGTAAATTCAGATCCTCTTCTATCAGGTTTTCCCAAAAAGGTGCCCATGTGTACTGAACAGCCTATCTAGGTTACCATAGAAATGGAGAGTCATAAAAGGATGTTTAGAAATGTAAGACTTCTATAAATCCTCATAATAGCAATCGCAATTGTTTGGAGCAATAATTGGGACTATTCATAATGTTCCGAGAAAAAAGCACAAATAACTCACCAATCTGCAATTCCTGGCAAAGCAAGAGCAAAAGAGGAAAAAGTTAATAATATGCTTTAAAAACAAGTCATGTCAAGCTAGCATAACTTTCCTTTGTTATAGGAGATAGACTCCCTCAACTAAAGGGACCCCAGGTCAACCACCACCATCTCCATGGCCTGGACTTCTCCCAGGCCCTGTCTTGTTTGTGGCATCGAGAGACTTCATAACCTACCTGGGCAGCTCCTACCCAGCATCAGAAGAAAATATCTGATTTCTTTACAGATAGCTACAACCCACCTGGTCCCACAAAGTGTTCTGTGTCACCTCATAAAAGACCATGCCGCATCACAAGGTAAATACAGTTGTCACATGGTATCCTCTGGTTCTGCATCCATGGATTTGATGAATTACAGATCAAAAATATCTGAAAAAAAATAACAATACAACAACAAAAAATAAGTAAAAAGCCAATGTCATGTAACAAAAACTTTACGTAGAATTTTCATCATATTAGGTATGATATACAATGCAAATGCTATGTGCACAAGTTATGTGCAAATACCACACCATTTTATATCAGGAACTGGGGCATCTGTGGGGGCCCTGGATCCAATGGCCCCCTGAGGATACCAAGGGATGACTGCAGGTAAAACACCAGAGCAAGGGACTGACTTAAGAATTTTTATTTATTTGCAAGTAACAGAAATGACCTCAAGCTAGCTTTTCAAGAAAAAAAAAGAAGGGGACTTTGCAATAAAAAATACTTAAATTTAATTTGTGAAAACCAAGAGCAAGGAAGTAATTGGGTCCCAGGAAGGACGGCCACCAGCAACTAGGCTTTTTTCTGGATCACAGGGAGTATCAGCTACCTGTCCTCTAGCTCCCTCTCTCTCTCAGGGCTTCTGCTTCTCTCTTCCTTCTCAGAAAATTGGCTTTCCTGTTGCCCATTGCATGGTTACCTGCAGCCTCAAAGGCTACTTTGTAGGGCTCAAGCCACCTGGAGAGACGCTGACCCTCTGGGCCCAACTCCAGACTGGCAGGAAGAGCTGAGTGTTGGCCCACTCATCCCAGATGGCCGCCATTTATCCAGTGTGTGGTTGAGGTGTGGGTGGATGTCTTAGTCAGCCTAGGCTGCCGTAACACAATGTCATAGATTGAGTGGCTTAAACAACAGGCATTTATTTCACACAGGTCTGGAGACTGGAAGTCCAAGATCAAGGTGCCAGCAGGATCAGTGTGGTGCGAGGTCACTTGAGCTACAGACGGACCAGTCACGTGGCTTTTCCTGGGTATGCGCTGGGGAGACAGAGAGAGGAAGCAAGCTCTTCTTAGACTCCCAGCAGGAGGGCCTCACCCACCTAAATACCTCCCAAATACCATCCCATTGGAGGTTGGGGCTCTGACATGTGAATTTGGGGTGGGGGGACACAGTTCAGTCCACAACTGTGGATGGCATCATTCAAAATGGTGGTTGGGGTGCACTGCCAGGGGTGAGGAGGAGCAGCTAATGCCAGCGGCTGCAATCCCAAATGTACCCGTTATAAAAAGTAACATCTGGGCACTGTAGCCAGAGAAAGAATGTGAGGGAACAGACAATACTGCCCCATCCGCTTGTTAAAGAGAGACCACGAATGTGGCTGTGAGCTTACTAGCAGCCAAAGTAAAGCCAAAGCTGGAAATGTCACAAGTGTCTTGATGTGACTAACACAGAAACAACCTGTGTTCACAGGCAAATCCCAGATTTACCCCATAATGTGATCCGGGAGGAATTTCTCCACTAGGCCCGCATTAAGGGGATCCTATGACGTACAGGTCAGTGTCCTCAGTGGCACCCCGACAAAACACATCATGATAATCTCCCCTATAGTCACCTCACCTAACACTAATGACCCTCAGTAAGGGACATGAGCATTGTGCCAAACCACAAACCAACAAAACCCCAGAAATAGATTCTGTTATTACCCCCATTTCTCAGATGAGGAAGCTGAGGCACAGAGAAACCGGTTAACTTTGCCAGAGCCATACATCTAGTAAGTAGCAACAATGATGTTAAAATCCACACACACTGACCCAGAGAGCTCATTCCTGCGAAACTCTACAAGAACAAGAGAATTGCCTTGATGTATCTTCAGAAAGTGAGACACAGGTTGTGCTTATTCTTCTGAGGCCGTTTCTTGTGACCCAAACAGAAAAAGTTAACCACAGTCGGGACAGGTGGACCTGAAGGGCCCAGGACCTAGAGCACAAACAGGATTGCGGAGATGCAGAGCTACAGCAGGTGCGGGATCAGTTCTTTCTCACAGGTAAAGAAAGGCCAGGTCTGAAGGTACCAGGACCCTGGGTTGGGCATGGCATTGGGACAGACTGCAAATAGCCAAAATTAAAACTCCAAGCTGTCGCGCCCGCCTCGCCAGCAAGGAAGACGCGGCAACCAGAGTTCTTCTGACCGTGCTTTAATGGGGTTCCCTTTAAACTTGCATGATGCGGAAGACCCAGCCCGGCAGCGTGCAGGCCGCTATATACCCCAGAAGTACAACCCCTAAGCTGCGATAGGCCGTTCAGCTGTCGAGCCACCCAAGCATTAGTCCATAGCAGGACCCTTTGTTTGGATTTTCGCGCCACAGGGCAACCGACAATTGCGCATGCGCTGAACTTGTTAGCTGCTCTAGGCAAAGCCGGAAACAGGCGCCATCTTGCAATGGCGTTAACACCGCGCCCCACACCAAGCCATCTGGAAGTAGATCGCAGGAGAAGTGATTGGGCAGAGAAGCAGAAACCAGGTAGCAAGACCCAGGGTGGAAAATACAAGCCCCAGGACGCAGCAAGCGGAGTCTGGCTGGTGGGAGAAAACAGTCTGCAGAGTCCCTGCCATACCGGGATGCAGCTGCTGCCAACGTCAACCAAGTGCATTTACTTTGGAGAGAGGCCACCACAGACCTCTGGAAGTCTCACAGCAGAAAATCTCTGAAGGCCAAAAATGACACCCCACCCCACCCCTCAAAATGACACAGGGCTTCCAGCACATGGTTCAGGAGTGGGTCTTCAGCCCACAGAGGGAGCTAAGACTAATCAGACCTAAAGCCGACCCCAGACCACAGAAAATGGACACAGGGCGGGTTACGCAGAAGGACTCTGACACTCAGGAACAGGAAGGACATGCAGGTACCAGAGCCTGCACATGCACTGGCACCTATACAGGAGTGGTGCAGTGGGTTGAACAGGGACCCCGAGTTTAAAAGTGGCTCCCAAAAATATATGTCCAAGTACTAATCCCAGGGACCTATGAACATGACCTTTTTGGAAACAGGGTCTTTGCAGATATAATTAAGGATCTCTGGATGAGCGCTATTGGATTTGGGATGGGCCCTAAATCCAATGACTGGTATCCTTATGAGGGAAAGGAGAGGGGTGTGTGGCACACGCAGCCGCACAGAGGGGAGCAGCCGTGTGAAGGTGAAGACCAGAGTGAGGTTGTGCGGCTGCACACCAAGGAAAGCCGGCCTGCCAGCAGTGCCCAGAAGCTAGGAGAGAGGCAGGGAAGAGATCTCCCTCAGAGCTTCCAGAAGGAACCAACCCTGCAAACACCTCGATACTGGACTTCTGTCCTCCACAACTGTGAGAAAATAAACTTCTATTGTTTTAGGTCACCCGTACCGTGGTGCCACGTTATGGCAGCGCTAGGAAGCTAATACGGAGGGATGCTGATGTCATCTCACGGGCCAGCTCTGTCGAGCGGCGGAACCGTGCAGAGCACTGTGTTGAGAGGTGAAGGCCACTCGGGCGCCACAGGGAAACGCGCAGCGATCCAGATGGGATGGCAGCACACAAGCCATACAGCTGCGTCCCCAGCCGCGTATTTGCACAGTACTCAGCGCTGAAAATAAACAGATGGACAGCACGTGGGCTGTGTCCTCAGGAACCTCCCAGTCCAGCACCAGAACCCAGTCAGGTCAAGTCTAACAGCAAGGTGTACTTGTCTTCTTTCTGAATAGTCAAGATTCATCACAATAGCTTTGACAGAATAGAGTTATCAGGAGGCAATGGTCATGAAAAGGGCACGTGTGGGGGGAAGAGTAATATGGGTGGGCAGCCGAGCCAGACGTTCTGCTTAATGCCAAGTTCAACGGTGTTCAAGATACTCAGTAATTAATTTGTGACGTTAACTGCAGCTAAGTATCATTTTTTAAAAATCTCTCAAAGATGAAGGTGATGTCCAATGTTTAGTATTCCTTAATAATTATCAGCTAAGTCCATACCATCTTCCGGGGGAACAGAGCCTAAAAACTTACTCCCCACTAGATGAAAGAGCCTCTCTCTGATGAATCCTCACACACAGCTGGGCCCAGGACCCTGGGAATAAAGTTGTGTACGATGCACCTTCTGTAGCGGCATCGCCCTCAGCCTGCGTTAGGTTCTACCCACCCATCTCTCATTATTTAGCCTTCAAGGAAACACTGCCCTTTCTCTGCCATCCTCATGGCCCCAGGCCCTGTAGCCGCCTTTCTTCAACTTCATCTCCTGAGAAACTCATTCTCAGAGGAGCAAAACATCACCAGATGCGTCCCGGGAGGCAAAATGAACAAGATGCAGACGACAGACATTCTGTTCCCCACACACTCCCACACTTCTAGGCCTTTCCTCCTGCTGTTTCCTCCGCCTGAAACCTACTCTCTTCCAGCAGCCTTCACCATCTGGCAAAATGACTCACTTTCCAACATCCGCCCCAAACAGTGTCTCTTCTGGGACACCTCGTCACCTTCTCTGGTCAGAATTAAGTACTCTCTCCTCTGTGCCACCATGGAAATTGTGCCTCTGCTTCAGCCATATCATGACGCATCACATTGTAGGTCCATGTCTTCATATCTGTGTCTTCCTCCAGCAGGTAAGACCCCTGGGAAGTGTGTCTCAGTCACCTGTCACCCCAGGTCCTAGCAGGAGCTTGCTCAATAATGTTGAGCAAGTATGTGAATAAATGCTTTTAGAATAGCTCTAACGATCTGCTAATGCCTTCTGAAGGGCGCTGAGAGCTGTTTGTTAGTTTTTCCAGGTGAAGGACCACAGCACCCATCCTCCTTAGTTGCTCTTATATATAACCTCCCAGTCACTCCCCTTCATTCCCTGAAGGCTGGTACATATTTTGTTCTACCCCAGGCTTTGCCGTCGTCCTGAGTGATGTCCACACCCAAATGGATGACCCCACAGACGGCCTCATATCCTGTTTCTTGACCTACTTATTTCCAAGGGTCCCCCCCCCTCACTTCAGTAGACGTCATACTCCTAGAGTCACTAGCAGGAGCACTTCCAGCCACAGCTCCTCCCCTTCCACCCTGCGCACTCACTCCTGCCACTCTGACCATTGTCCACCTGCGGCTTCTCTCGGTTCCTCGCCCGCTCCTTTCTGCATTAGCCACTTCCC